GAGGGTGGGTGACGGCGAAAAACTTGTCTCGGATGTTAATACCGGCATCGATTCCTCTCCTCCCTGATTCGAGAGGACCAAATGCTCTGGAAGAAGTGAAACGAACCAGCTTTTTTTTCTTTTTCTTCTTCTTCCTTCTCCTCCTCCTCCTCATTCGAGTTATTAGCCTCGAACGAATGTTTGAGAGTTTTTGCGAAATTATTTTCCGTATACAGTTTTATAATCGATGATGATTATCTGTTATAAAATTATACTGGAAGAAAGAAGATTTAAATATATAATACAGGTGTTAATTAAATTAATGGCCATAGATATTAGAATAGTATCTTTTTCAAGAATTTTTTCAAATACTCCTCGTTCTTCGAAGTCACAATATTTTATATCGATAAATCCATAGATAACTCGATTATTCCTCGATATTCGACTAAAAAAAGAAAAAAAAAAATGTCGATTTAGGAAAAAATCGATTCGATAAATCATCCTCCAGATTCTCTTAAACCTCGACTCGAAAAATATATAGCATAATTGTGGCGGAAGCACGAAACTAGAACGATAAGAAAGGAGAGTTTTTCGAAGGGATTTCAAGAACAATCATGGTAGCGGGGAGAGAGGGATGAAACTCGGACGGTTGGAACGCTCGAGATTTCAACCGATTCAACGACTGAGCCAACGAGAGAACGGGTTGACGTTTATTCGATGCGCGTTGCTCCCAGAAATATGCACGAAATTCGGTCGAAACGCGCGCGTTATGCCTTCAGAACAGAGAGCAACGACGCCGTTTTTCCGATAAACACACGGCTCCATCCACCCCTGTTACGCGTCGAAAAGAATGATTCGTCCCGTGAATCTTACCTCGAAACCTGTTTATATCCCATTTACCATTGTCTGATTCAGTGATCGTCTCTTTTAACCCTTTGTGCATAGGCAGAAATATATGCAAGATATTTCACTTGATTATCGTATTCGTGGAAAGGCATGTTTACATGGAAAACGAATGATTTGGAAGGGTGTATATATTAAAATTATTAATTTTTTAAAAAGATATTTGATTATGTTAAAAAATTTATAAGTATAATTTTAATATTCTTACGTATTAATTACAGCGTATTACAATAATCTACTTACAATAATAATAAAGAAAATAAAATATATATATATAAACGAAACTTTTTCCTGTATCTTATGTAAGACTAGAAAATTATACTTAAAAAGAAAAGGGAAGAAAGAGACAGTGAAAAGAATTAATTTCACCCTTTCTTCCACTTCCTTCTCCTGGAGAATTTTTATAAACACGACCAGTCGTATTCGCATAAAACGTAAAACGAGTTTTGCGACCGACACGTATGTATATACGCGTACATCCTATTTCTCGGATAGACTCGTTTATTGGTTTTGCAATTGTGCTTCGAGGGAAATAATAGCGAATCCGTGCTGCCAATATTCGATATCCGCGGGATCGAATTTAAAGGGAGACGTCGTCCAGGGATGGGTGGAGGAAATCGGGTCGAGAACGGGGCCTGCGAGAGAAATCTCGTGGTAAAAATGCGGGCAAACAATTAGCCGGGTAAACGAGCTGGGTCGACGATTAACCGAAGATTCTCTGAACATCGACAGCTGATTCTAATGGCTCGGTTTTATTATTGTCGTTCGAAGCGCGCAATTCGATTGGATTCGATGCCCTCGTGAAAATATATACTTCTATCCGCGAATCTGCGAATGACGTTAATTCGAAAAATATTTTTATACCGTAATAATATCATTTTAGCCAATTATCTCGATATTCCTTCGTGAATTGCGTTCTAACTACCCTTCACCCAACCCCTTCCATAAAAGAGATCAAAGAAAATCCGTCCACGCAATCTACGTGACGAAACGCATTAATTAAATCTTCAACCAAATTACACATCTCGATTGAACGCACAAACCAGTCCAAACCATTATTATCCCTGCGATAAAATGGTATCAGTCGATTAAATCGCGCTCCTTGTCGTCGTATTCGTGATCGAACGAAAAACAATCGGAATCTCGGAACGCCCATCGAGCTGTCCGTCACAACCATTTACCCAGTAGTAATCCTGGGGAGAGATGCACGGCTCCGTGCAAAAGTGAAAGCGTGAAGAATGGCGATTCCCTTCGGTATCGCGGTCACGATCTTTTCTAACGTAACGTAACGCGAAAACACGTAGCGGATTCCACGATCCCCCTCGAAAGCGTAGAAAGTATATGAAAATCGAGACAGGCGAGAGATCGCCAACGGGCTATAGTTATTTGTTCAAAGGCGAGCGTGGCAGCGTTTCTCGGCTGTAATCGCCGCGACCAACACGTACATCTCTGCTTTAATTTATTGCCGGTGCACCGCTTCGAACTCCATTTATACTATATCATTATAGCTTTCCAATGGTCTCTTCCTCCCTCGCTCGACCAATTAACGATCCTGGTCTTCCCAACCTTTCGCCGCAACGCGTTTCGCCAATTATTAATCGCGATGGGTCCCTTCGTTATCTTATCTATTTCGTATATCGTTTGAATTTTTTTTCTTTGGGGAAGATATTATTGGAGATTATTCGCAGAAGAAATGTTTTTACGATTTAATCGGATTTATAATGATAGTTTAACGCGGTGAATGATTTTTGGCAAGGATTTTGGAATCGAGTGAAGTACGTTTCGTGCGCTATGTGAATTTTTGAACGCGTAAACGAAGACGAGGATTTTGTACGTGCATTATGATGTATTATGGTATCAGGTTTCCGTATACTTGAGAGTTTACTTTCAACGTTTGTTGACCGGTTACACTCGTGTTTGCACGTGCATCGATTCGTGCAATTATCGAAGTACAATATTATTATATTTAAGTAAGATGCAATATTAAATATCACTATTATCCTGTTGGTAGTGTTTGTCGTTTCGATTGCAATTTTAATTGAATTGAAAGAAATATTTCGTAACTAATTTTGACCAATCGCTACGATATAAATTCGTATAATTCCAGCTCAAATTAGACTCAAATCACGAGTCTCTAACTCGGCTAGTAAAATTTATAATAATATTGATTTAATTCTGGAAAAGAATCTCCATTGAATTGTCGGTTAATTTCGTACGGATTCATTTGGTCTCTCACGGTTGACTCACGGTGAAAGGAGGGGAGGAAGGAAACGTGTCGGTGCTAAGGTGCAAACAGCGAGCGAGCGTTGCAAAAAAAACTTCAGGACGCCAATTATTGTGGATTGCAAAAGGAACTTGCAAAACGGGTTAACCTAAATGTTACGCAAAGGCGGAAAGCCTTTAGATTCTCGAGGAAGCACTGAAACAACACGCTCGTTTCTAAAACACACCCTCGGGCGAGTAACGTGTCTACTTTTATCCTTGGCACGCACGTAGGCCGCTAGGAATATGGAAACCTGCGAGAATGATCGATAATCCAAGAATCTTAATCGAGGCCTCTGTGATATTTAAACCCTTGGCGAGAAATTAGAATTCTAACGTGCGTCCCTCTAACGTATACTTTACGTCAAAATATCGTGTAATTGTCGGACCATTATAGAATTACTTACCTTTACTTTTTTTTTAATTAACGTTCCAAGGTTCATTTCGTTCATTTCCATAAATAAAATTATCCCCGATATTTTATTCAAACTTTTAGAGTAATTATCGATGGATCAAAATTATATTTTTAAGAGAGTTTTCCTCCCAAATTTTCCAAAAATGTAGAATCACTTTCATTATTCAGGTTATAAAACATTTTCACAACAGTTTATTAGAATCGATATTTCGCCAAAAAATAAACCCCCTCGTGATGATATAAAGATAGAAAAAAGAGAGAGAAGGGGTGATATTGCACAGTACTAACCGAACTTCTGACCTAAATTCCCCTAGAAAAGGAAGGGAAAGATAGAAGAAAAAGATATGAAAAAAAATTCTGCGATTCTCTCCATCCCCTTTCTCGTGTGAGCTGGAATGTAACTGGCTCGCGGACAATGGCCGAGCGATTAAGTTTATTACTCGGAAGGGGCGGGGGCGGGCATTAAAAGGGCCCTGCACGGTTCCACCTGCACGGAACCAGTCGGATACGAGGCGACGTAATTGCTTTCGAGTTTGATCCACCTCCTCGAAACGGAGATTTATCGGTCGTCGATCGCTAATCTACGGGAAGATGCATGGATCCTTTTGTTATCTCTTTTGTTTCGCCCTCGTTGAATCGTCAACTCGGCCAACGATTGAACGCCTCGAAATCCAGAAAGCAAGAAAAGAAAAAAAGAGCTGGCCGACCATCCTTTCGTGTTTGCTTGCTGTTTATTAACCCTTTATTTATGCTGGATCTTCGTTATCTTTAATTAAGAGGATATTGATTTGTGAACAGGTCTCTTGCCTTTTTTGTTAAGAAATAATGGGAAATATACTTTGAGATGGAGACGAGATTTTGGACTGAGGAATGTCTCGAACATTAGTTTAAATTCGACAATCGTGGTAAAATCGTTTTTTGTTAAAAAATTTCGAAAATAAAATTAACTCGATGAGATTGATTTTGAATTTGAATAAGAAACGAGATGTGCTCGTTAAGATTGTGAATTGGCGATAGAGGAAATGAAAGCAGTGATGGGGAAAGTGACAGCAAGATTATTATAATAATTCAGAATGGTCTGAAAAGATGATTGAAGAAGGTGTTGAGAGCAAAGGATGGAATGTCTCTCTTTCTAATTGTTTATCCGGATCTGATTTTTCACTGATTTATAATCCGTGAATGATTGATCGAGAAGAATTGTTGTTCTATCGTGGATAATAAACGGATCTTATCCGAAAACTGGTGAAAACTGTGAGCAAGATTTTAATTTCTTTACTTTTTCTACGAGAAAGCGTTCGAATTTTGATTCTAATTTTATTTCCTTACGAGTGGTGTTTAGCTTGTATTACTAGTTCTCTTTCCCTTTCTTAGAATAGGAAGCGCAAACCCGATAAATTTAATCAATTTATCTACGTTCAATCTTTTACTAAATTCGTTTCGTTAAATAAAAATTTCTGAATGGCTGAAAATTTTTCACGATTGATCAATCTTCGAAATTTTGATGGCCGGCCACATACGAATACATTGATTGCTTCTCTCAAATGAACGAATGAAAAGTAATTACCTTTTATTACTAGCCTCAATTAACACGACCAAGAAAGAAAAGAAACTTGAAGATATATATGTATTTTACTTCATCGGCTAAAATCCAACGATTCACAGTTTAAATTTCACGAAACGGAATCATCCATCGGAATCCATCGAAATCCTCTTATCCTCGAACTTAAAAAAAAATCCGGATTCGAAAGAACGCAAATTTCTATCTCGATTTTTCATCATAACTCTCCGTTAAAGTGAGGAGAAGAAGTACAATAAACTCGAAACAATTCTCAAACTGTACTTGAAAACTGACGATGTCCTCGCCTGTAAATGAAACGAGAAACAACTTGTCGAAACGAATTGCGATTCGAGAAGATTTCCTTCTCGGGGTCGAAAATCCCCGGAACGAAGAAATTAACCGAAGGAATTCCGAGCGAAGCGTTGTCAAAGTTGGTGCGAAAATCGAAGGGCATGGATTCGAGGAGTGGAGCACTGCAAGACACGTCGTAGAAAGGCAAAGTTTATTCCGGGGCCGACAACGTTGTCGTCGTCGACTCGTGCCCACATCCACGCGCTTCATCGTCGTACCGACGCGAAACTCAAACGTCAAGTTGCTGGCTGACGGTTAAATTCGTTAAGAGCAGTCGTAATAAGGTTGGGGCAAAGTTTCGCGTTGGTGCAGGTGGCTGCGGATCGACGACACAGACGGTGGTAGTCGGCTGGTGTTTTCGTACGAAGAAACGCGATCAACCATCGAAATTTCGAAACGTGTGGACAAATATGAGTGGCAAGTGTGCTCGAGTTTCTTGATTATTTTCCAACTTGTGCGAATTGCGAAATGCAAACTTTGGTGGCAGGCGATGGAATGATAAAGTTTCATGGAATAGAAATTCGAGAAAAGCAACGGATCCTTTTCCTCTTTCTTTTTTTTTTCTTTCTTTCTAATTTTCTCGACGATTTTCAAAGGCCGGTGAAACGATCGAAACAGGATACCTTTCTTTCTTCGAGGGAATATCGATTTTCGATATTATCGATATTATCAATCGGGCAAGAAGACGAATAGAAATATTTCGAGTAGAATATTTTCCTCTCTTCGGTCCTAATAAACTCCAATAGACTCGATACCGCCGAGATCGAACATTTTTTTCCAAAGTATCTAATCACGAGACGAAGCATAATCAATCATAAAAGGAAACAACCAGGATGTTCTTACGATCCGAGAGAAACGCCAGGTAGCTGAGAAATAAGAAAGTAATTCTTCTCTTGAATTTACAGTTCTTTTACGGGAAAAAGTCGAGTGAGAAAAATTTCTGTAAAATTTTCCATTAACGTGAAAAAAGAAAAAAAAAATACGATCCCTCGTCAACACGTTCGAACCACGAGTTACCAAAAACCGAGTAAATTCGAGTGCCACTCTAACTTCGCTTCGAATTTTAATCTGCCCAATCTCTCGACGAATTAAAAAAAAAAAGGAGAAAAAAACTCTGTAAATATATATATATCGAGGATGCACACGCGTGAATTCGATCTTCCGCGAACAATTTGTCCCCTTCCCCTCCCTGCAGCTCGAGTTCCAAGCAATTTCCACTCGAGCCACTTGGCCCACATAACAAGTGCGACGTACGCGCGCCGTGATTTGCATTGGGTCACTGGTTCGTTGGGGGGATAATGGGATTCGTTCGGGCTCCGCTTATCGTTCCTTGCTTATATGCAACGAAATATAATCGTCGAGTCGTGCAACTCCTTCGAGATCCACGAATTAGCCCACGGCTGTTCGAACGGTGATTAACAGGCATGGTTAGGGTATGAAACGCGTGCGCTGCATAAGGCTAATCCTCGATGAGATCGCGGCTAAATGCTCGTAAAGGGATCCGGCTAAGGATCTGTGATAATAACGGTGCTGGTGTTGTTGTTGTTGTTGGAGAGGAAAAGAGATATACGCTTTGTAAATTTTTCCAATCTTCGAATATGGGATAACATATTGATTTCTACGATTTTTAACGATCGAAGAAATTTGTGATGACGCGAGGAAGATGATTGAGAGGATTTCTTTCTTTGATTCTTTGTTTTTCCACGTCTTTAAATATATACCTAAGCGTCAAGTACTAAATTAATAAGCAAACAATAGTAAAATTTTTAAATAAAAATCCCGGCATCTTTAAATCATTTATTAAATAGCTTAATATGCAATCTTACTTTATATATTGATTTTACATATTATCAATTTCCTCTTGTATAATTTCAAAACAAACAAAAAAAAAAAGAAAAAACGGAAAGAGATGGAAAATAAACTGTTGAGCCTCGAAAGAATACACAGTTAAAAATAACAACGTGATCCGAAGCGAAGAAGATCTTCTCATTTAAAGGAGTTTCAAATCGAAGAGAAGAAATCGTGGAAACGCGTAAAAATTTGAAATGCACATAATACGTCATAATGTCCACAGTCCTCGATAGATTCTCCAGAATTTCCCATCGAAAGAGAGATATCTCTCGTACTAACGATCGCCTTTGGTTCCTTCGGTTTTAACGACTTCCCGTTGCCGATTTAAACGAGGCCAGAGGCTGATGGCGGAAAATTAGCTTTCTCCGTCGTAAAAACGGTAATAACCGCTGCTTCCTGCGCGCGGGGCCTATTTCGATCCACGTGGAGGACACGGAGGGGTGGGGGAGGACGGGGGAGAAGTCGACGGCCTTTCGTCGCGACGAACGCAACGCGTCTTTTCTCGAAAAGGGCGGCTATCTAACTACCGCTCGGCCGAGTGATTAACCGTGCACGCATTTATTTCTCGCCGGGCAATTTGTCGCGTTAATTAGCCGTGTAACGAGGGCCTAGACACGCGCGTCGCCTTTCTTCGTGCGTCCTTTCTTTTCCACAATACGACGACTGGCCGTGGCCGTGATCCTAAAGAACGCAAACGGGGGTGGGTTCGGTTAAACGCGAGCTTAAAATCGAATCCATAAGCCGAAAGAAATAACGAAAGAAATAAAGCGTGCGTTTCGTTGATAATTAAAACTTGGAGATGTATTTCCTCGTCTAATCTATCAATCTTTTTTCTCGCGAAATTGAAATTGTCTTTAATACATTGTTACATAATTATTTTTCGAACGATCTTCGCGAGGAAACGCGAGGAAGAAAAGGAAAAAAAAGAAACGATTCGGAAAAGAGAAAGGTTTGGGACGAATCAATGGAACAAAGTCGAGCAGGAATAAATAAGCGGAGATTTAAAGCGTTATCTCGAGCTACTTTATGCACCATCCTAGAGCTCACCGCCGACAAAGCGTGAAAAAGTCGGCAAGGACCGATACTCGAGGTCGCCACCGAGCCGTAACTCACGTCACGAGATTCGAATGAGTTACGGATTCCATTCATCTGAACGTATTAAGCGGCGACGGACGAAAATTTCAATTCACGTCCGATCTCGATCCCACTCTGTCACTGTCGCCCCGTTTCCACGGAACCTCCACGTGGCCGCGTGTGCCCGCTTCGGTTTGAATCTCGAACCGACCGGGGTTATTTACGGCCTTGTAATGAGCTTTCCACGGAATGGTCTTTTTGACAGTGAGCCGCGCTCTCGCGGGGGTTGTCGCGAACTTTGACGCGTCTCCTCCCTCCCTTCCGCCCCCAGGGTAAATTGCTCCCCTATCACTGGTTTTAACATTTCTTTTTTTGTTTCTTTTCCATTCGTGTATAGGAAAGTCGAATTCTATTGGTAATTTTTATTATATGGGGAATATATTCGAGAAGATTTTTTTCGTTTTATTTTTTTAAGACATGGATTCCGTGTTCTTTTGTTGTAATATTACAACGTGATTTCGTTTTGAACGAGAGCTTCTTGATTTTCGGAATTTTTCTCTTGATTTGGAAATTAATTATGTAATACAGTAATGGATTCGTGTAATGATAATAATAGGATTGTTTTTTAAATAACGTTAACATTTTATCAGGTGGGATTCTTTTTATATTTATGGAAGAGAGAAATATTTGCCATTTAAAATTTAAAGGAACTTTATATTTAATAAGACTTTACGTTTTATTAAATTAAACTATCAAACATTAGGTTTTTTTAAAAATACTTTCAGAAATTATATCACTGTTCATATACTTACCATAGAATACCATAGAATACCAAAGAAATTATGCTTATAATTTTATACTCTCGTTCCAAAATCAAAAGAGAAGCTGAAAAAAAGAAGAAAGATAGAAATTTAATCGAGCATGCCTGCCAATCCTCGATTTAACGAACGATGTCACGAATATTAACCTCGGTTGATATCAACAATGAAACGTGGTTTCGTAATTTCGAGGACGAGGATGGAATCGGTGCACGGAATGCGGGAATTGCCGAAAATGTACGATGACGAGGACACGCGATCACGAAAGGGTTACGCACATGGAGCACGGTAACTTAAGCCACGCCACGATAGAACGAAGCCGAGGCTCGTTCTCGTTTATCCGTCGCGCTCGTTTGACACCGATTGCGGGCATAAATCTCTGCCGCGTCCCGCACAGTTTTGTAATAATGTCCGCCGGTCCGCCGAGACGTCATCAAATATGCTATATTACGTTGTTCCAGTCTGGAACCAAGGTTTTATCTAAATTATATCCGCCTCCCCGCGGCCATACCGTTTTGCCGATTATTTCGCTGTTATTGCTCGCGATTCACCCTCGGTAATGGGGTGAATTTTTGGTAATGGATCGATAATAATGGTGTTTCGTTATTTTAAAATTTGTTTTTTTTTTTTTCTTTAAATAAATTTTTCCATTTTCCAAGTTTTTTCGAGTAAGTTGTGCGCGAATTTCGATTAGTCTAATTGATAAAATTTATCGGCTTAAAATCGGTTTTTATTTCACGAATTATCTGTTTTCAATCATTTATAATTACATCGGATTGCACGTTCAAATTTTTATAAATTTTGGACAGAGAAGTGGTGGTTGATAAAAGTTTTTGTTTTATTAATATCTCTCTCTATTCACAATTTTATTACATCACTCGAATTATTCGTGTAACAAATATTCAATAATAAATATTAAATGAGCCGTTCAATAAATCAACTCTTGAATATTTCCCTTAACTTAAAAAAAAAATTGTGGGAACAAATTGATCCGAGCACGCAGTTGATCAATCTCCATCCCGATTTATCTTTAGAAAAAAATTATTTGAAACGAAGATCCTTGTTAAATTTCGAAAACCAAAACTACGAATCGCTGAAACGAAATCTGTCTTATTCGCCACTCTTTCTTTCACCCCTCGAACACATACCCTCCCTTTAATATCCCGATAAACTCGAAACAGCTCGAAAGGCGAAAAGCGAAACTTGCAACCAACAATCGCATTCCTTCGAAGAGAGAGAACTCCTCCTCCTTCTATTATCCAACCGCGAATCTCGTTTCATTACATCGGCTATACCTTTAGGCGGTTGAAACGCGAATTTCGTCTGGTCGTGGGACGAGGAAGAGAAGGCCAAATTTTGACCAGGTGTGTCGATGCATCATCCCAAAGAGAGAGAGAGAAAAAGACAGAGTTAAAATAAAAATGGCGGCCGCGCAAAAGTTGAAGTTTCCCAAGGCCGGCTCTCGTTTCTCGTTTAAAACACACTTAACGCCAGAAGCTATTTATTTCACGAGGGTTATTCCCCCATCGTGTAGTGTGTACGCCTAACATTTTTGTAATTAGTTTGCTCGCGACTCCGTGGAAGAAGGGAACAAAGGAGGGTTGAAACGCGACCGAGACGACGCGAATATATACGTTTATACACGCGTGTGCGCCCAACCACCACCACCATTCTCCTCCACCATCGTCGCGCGCAAACTGTAAAAGGTAGTTTGCCAAAGAACAGTTAGCGAGCGGAAGGAGAAAAGTCGAGAATAAGAGAGAGAGAGAGAGAGAGAGGCGAAGGGGAGAGGTTTCAGAGACGATCGTGGAGGGATGTGAGAAGGAGAAGGAAGAAGAAAGGGGAGGAGGAAGAAAGCGGAGGGCTGTGAGTAGTCTGCGTCCGTGGAAAGAGATCGAGAAAGAGAGTTGTGGTGTATTAGGGGGAGGGGGAAGGGGGTTGGAAGGAACAGGAATTACGACGTATGGCGAGCGCCTAATTGCTGCGCGCCGCGTTACGGGTGATTATTTTTTAATTGCTGCGATTAAAAGAGAACGAGATCGCCACGCATCGCTGCCCGCGTTTGATGTCCGTGTCCCGCGCGTTGCTCGAAGAATGCCTTCTTGACTTGTTCTCCAAAGAGAAACGAGCCGTCTGAAAAGATATTCGATGGGGGATGAAAACGCGGGGAAGAAAAGGGATGATGTGTGTGTTACATCGTGGGATCTAGAATTTTTTTTTTTTTTCGTCGAGTAGAATATTACTCGAACTTTTGATATTCGATAGTCGTCTGATGCTTACGTTTATTGTCTCGCCTATATTCGATATTTTTAGATATTATAATTGTAGGTATTTAGAATTTTAGTGTTGGATGCTTCTCGATTCTTTGATATTTGGCATTCCAAATTCGATATTCGATACTATATTTTCATTTTTAATATTCGGTACTTTGACGTCCAATGCTCCAATATATTCGATACTTTAATCGGTATCGACATTTTGAGTATTTGCTGTTTTAATCTCGATCTCTTGATATTTTTTGGTATGTACACTTGATTCGGCTCCTTTTTTTTTTTTTTCCCACGTCTTTACTCGAAGGAAACGGAGTGCCACTCGGTTTAAGCCGTTCCCTTTCTCTCTCTTTCTCTCTCTCTCCATTTCTCCCTCTGTTCGTCATCGATTTTACACGGCCCGTTATTTGCATACTTTACACCGATACGTTGTCGCCGCCTCCGCGTTGCCACCTAACCATTGACAAATTTATTCGACGAACCTGGTTCGGTAGACTTTAGCTACGGATAAGTAGCTTCGTTAAATCGATCGGCGAAATCGATGTACACGTTGTTCGAATCGTGATTTTTCCTTAATCGAACTTCTTGTGGATAAGTTGGACAACTCGATGCTGTGTATGCATCTTTTTTTTTCTTTTTGACTCGTTCACGTGGATCGTATGTAGAAGGCTTGGTTGGATCAAATGGTTGTATAAATTATTGAGATTTAATAGGTGTGTAACTTGGTGGAGTCGTTTCAGTCGTGGAATTTTTGTCCATACGATTTTGATGTTTATTCATGAAACGAGGGAATAAAACGCGAGAAAGATGAATTTGATTAAGTTTACGTTATTATTCGTAGTTTTGCGTACAGATTTCTGTATTCTTATTCTATATATATATATATATTATTCTGTATGAATATTTATGTTGAGTAGGGGAAAATTATATTTTATGAAGCTGAATAGTGTGAAGTTGTGTCTTTATTCTAGTTAAATTATGAGAAACATTTGTTACTCGAGAAGTTTGTTCTCGGTTATTTAGGGACATGTTCACAGAGAAAAGTAAATGACACGCAATTTTTTGCCTCGTGAAAAATATCTCGGAATTCGGGAAATTTAAAATAGAGAAATAACTAGAAATCAATGAATTCTAAAAAAAAACCTGTTTATATTCCTAAATAAATAAACATTATCATTTTTCAATGATAATTATTCCATATATTGCTTTGAAATTAAACATTATAAATTTTAAAAACAAATTTCTCAAAAAAAAAAAAAAGAAAAGAAATAATCCAGCAAAGGAGAAAACAAAAAAAATCCGTAACGTATCCAAATAAACAGATTTTTCCACGTGGGTCGTTGGAGTGGCACAATGCCTTTGGGGTTAGCGGCAATGCATTAGTCGGGACATTAGCGGAGATATCGAGCCAACCATCGTATCGTATCGTCATCGTGTCGGTATGCTAAAATACCGTGTAATCTCGAGGAAATTACACGGTTGGTGTACTCGTGCACGCCTTTCTCCCTCTCTGCCCCCTTCTCTCCTTCTCTCGCTGTAATATCATTGTCATATTTAGAAAATGGAGTCGCGCGCGATAAAGTAGCGAAGTCGTCTCGTTAAGACGAAAGAGGAAACAACCTTAGCTCAAATTCGAGAGATGACAATTTCTTCGAAGCGAACAAGCCGCGGAAGCTTTTGCGGCAATTCTCGAGCTTTAATCGGCAGAGCGAGAAGTAATTCTCCTTATTCGGATATTCGATATTTAATACCAATTTTTTTGATCTCTTTATCCCTCGGAGAATGATCCCCTTCCTGAGATTAACCGTATCTATGGATCGATCTATCTTTTCGAATAAATTCTTTTCTTTTTTTTTTTTTTGAATATTTATACTCGTTCATATAATTTTTATCTTAAGAACAATTCCGTGCTTAATTATCCAAACTCGTATCGTACATTTGACGTATAGTACGTAAGCACGAAAAATGATACACGCTTCGTGTATGATATCGCAAATGCAAATAATTTGAATTACAAAATGAAATAGATATCTCTCTCTCTCTCCCTCCGTCATCCCCCCTATCCAATAATGATATACAAATGTCGATATACACAATATACCTTTCTCCTCTTCCCAATAACTACGTTATAAATCAAAAGAATTTTCCTAAAAATCGTTCCACTCCCTGTATTATTCTCAAAATACATATACGTTTCACAAAAACTCGCGAACGATAAAATCGAGGATTATTAAATGAAAGAAACACGAGCGCGCAGAATGAGATCCGAACCAACTTTTTTGCTTTATTCCTTTAAGATACACCCCCTTTCCCTCCGATCCAAGCATCGAATTCCTGTCTCGCATCGCCCTCGTTGGCCTCCGAAATCGCTTACGACTAGCTGTGCCGCTAATTACCCGCTCGCTTCGTGATCGGTTTTCCAGAAAAATCGAATCCTGCAATCTTTATATATATATATATATATATATATATATA